CCCTCCTCCGGTTTTCCCTCCCCTCTTACCGCACCCTGCCTGAAGCCCTCCTCCGGTTTTCCCTCCCCTCTTACCGCACCCTGCCTGACATGCTCCTCGGGCCCACTTCCCTACCCAGGTGTGCAACTGCGTGGGCGTGGCCCCCGACCAGGTCATGACCTGCGTCCAAGGCGGTGACTACCGGCCCGTCTCACAAAAGGTACCGCAATCCTTCTTCCCTACATGGACCTTACCGGCGAAGCTCCTGCTTGCCCCGTGCTCCTCTGATCCCCATGCCCTCCTGGCTTCCCCCTGATTGATCACCCCTAATCCCCCTTTGTTTTCACCCGCCCCTCCCCTTCCTTTTCGAACCATCTCCTCCCGCCTTTGCCCCTAGATGGGCGGAAGCGGCGGGGGCGTGTCCTGGGGCGGTGTGCTCGGCATTGTCACATTGGTGATCTTGGGCATGACGGCGGCGGGCTTCGTGTATTGGAAGCGGACACAGGAACAGATGCGCGAGCAAGGTACGGATGCAGGCAGTCTCTGTGTGTCAAACCCTCGGGGCCTTTGCTCCAGATTGTCCGTGGTGCTACCTCTCTCGTGGTGTCTATCTTCAGCCGTTCCTCTAACACACTCACGAAAACATAAAACTCGGCTGACATCACCCTGATCCTTGCCGCCCTCTTTGCCTTCCTCCCTCTCCCCTCTTCGTCATGGGCGCCAGTCCGTTCCATCTTAGCCGAGTACATGCCTCTTGAAGACGCACCGGGGGATAGTAATCCATCCACCACGGCTGGCGGTGGGAGTGTTGATTCTTTCTCGGGTTCAAGAGCGAATAGCAGGTATTGTTTTGGTTTTATTTTCCTGTTCGAATTTCTCCTTTCTTTCTTGGAAAAACGGTTCTCCGGCATTTTTGATCATCGCCATTGTCGACCCCTGTCTTCACTTTTCTTTTCCTACCAGGTACTACGACCTGCAGCCTATGAAGGCTACCGGTGGAAGCGGGATTAATGGAGACACAGCTGCCGTGTAAGATTCGAGACGTGGAAGCGAGTGGCGGGGCACGAGAAGCGCAGCGAAGCGCTTTTACTGTATAAAGCGGGAGAGAACAGCAATGGGACAAGTCGAGAAGGAATCCGGGGATGAGCATAGAAGGCGAGTGCCACGTTCACGCAGAGTGGGAGGCACGGCTGTCAAAAAGACGGATATGAAGGAGGAAAAGGTGGAAGTGGTGCGTGGCAAAGATGAAAGAATTCTTGAGGAAAGAATTAACAACAATGCGCAGCAACAAAAAGCGTGAAATTGACCTGTTATCGAAGCCTTTATTTTGATGTTTCTTTTCCTCACGAACTGCGGCTTTACTCTTGTTTTTTCCCCCTTCTGGGCTTCAAAAGCGGTATCAAATCGTCACTGTCGAGAAGGCGGGTATATGGGGCGCTCTGAATGTCAGTCGAATGGATCCCGAGGCGTCGACCATGTCCTAGTCCCTGTCACTTTCACCACCCACCCCACTTACACATCAAGGTCCTGTTCCGTCTTGTCAGTGTACGTGACACGTGCCCACACTCGCCGCGATTCCTTGGATCCCTTTGCCCTCACCTCCACCACCATACCTGCAACAAAGGGCCAGCGGGAGAAATGGAAGAGGAAAGGGGAGGAACATGAGAACAGAATTATTTATGAGTAGGCAGAGCACAAAGACCGGTCCGATCTTGTAAGCTTATGACTCCAGGTGTTCCATAGCTACGACATCCCCATTCTACATTCATGAGGACGGTGAGTTTATCGCTTTGGCATTGCCCTTTCAGAACTCTTTTCTCTATTCACCGGTCTTGCGATGCTTACCCGTGACCTTCCCTCCCCCCTCCACGGCTTTCTGCACGAAGCGGCCGACAAGAGGCTTGTAATCTGTAAGCTCCTTTCCCGGTCGAGCGGCACCGATGGAATTCCCTGTCCCTACCATTTCATTTGCTGGGAGTGGTACAGAAGCTGTGGATGACGGCAGCGCGGACGGAGGACTGCGAGGGAGGGGATCAGAGAAATTGAATGGACGTGGATGGAGCGCATTGGCTGTCGAAGTCCTTGTGCTGTCAGTGTGATGACCGTGTTTGCCCGTCGAGCAGTCGCCTCCATGATCTTTAGAGGCGCAGGCAGGTAGAGAGGGCGCAAGGGAAGAAACAGAGGATGCCGTAAAGGGATGGGATGAAGGCTCATCTGTGGCTGTTTCTGTCGCTGATGCTGCAGCGTTTCCTCCTAAAGTGGTCACTTCTGCTATTACAGCCCCTTCAAGAAGTGCCACCATCGACGTTGATCCTGTTGCCACTGTCATTTCTGCTGATTTTTGGGGCTGCGCCGGAAGGATCTGGGAATGCTGGGAGTTGCCCCCTCCTCCATCACCCTGTAACGTCCCCCTGTTCTCCTTATCACCTTCGCTCTGATGCCGCCGGACAGGCGACTGGCATGCCTTCTCCCGTTCCCTGTCGCATAGCGCCTGTTCCTTTTCCTTGCCTGCCTCTTTCATTTCGTGATCCTTCCTCTTCTCGATTCCCCCCTCTGCTTCACACGCTCCGTCTTCCTCCAAAAGCTCAGTCGATGCTTCCTTTGCCTCGTCAACATCCGGGCTGGCATTCTCTTGACAGAACATTTCCCCAGAAGGAGGGATCGCACAAGATGCAGGGGCGGAGGAAGCTGTCGTGGTGATTGTTTCCGCTTCTATCCCTTCTGTTCTACCATACCCCACACGACACAAGGTGATAGAGGAGCGTGCTCCGATGGCTAGTTCCTTAAGTGCTTCGCATTCCTTCTCCTCCCTTCCACTGCTTTCGCTGCTCGGGGCCGATGAAGACCGTGGGGAGGTCGGTGGCGTGGGGGGCAACGGTGCCATTAAAAAAATTCTCACCTGCGGGTTCAGAGACCAAAAAATAACAATTAAACTCACAGTAACAACCTTCTCCCTTCCTTTACGCTATTAAGATAGCCATTATGAAACTGTCTAGATCTCCCATTACTTTTCTGCCCAGCTATCCTATCAACATCTCACATCTTCACTTTCGCTCCCTCTAGTTTTTACGTCAATGTCTCGACGCGCCCCTCATCCCTCCCCCGCTGGAGGCATACAGAAGTTCGACACGGTCCTACCTCCTGTAAGGGAATGTCCTCCTCATCCCCGTCCACGTACAGCACATGCGCATATTCCTGCCCGGAATGCGCCACCCAGCAATCCGTAATATGGCCTAATGGAATGTCAAGTGCGGAGATGAGGGTGGCATATGATAACCTTCCCTGTACTCACAGGCTAATTGCGCTCAGAGATCAAAGTTCCTCTTTGCGGCGACGTTTGCGAGATAAGCACTACTATATCCCTTCGTATGCATCATTTGCTCAAACGCACCTGAAAAGCTACCATGCATTCCGAAGTCTTTACGGACAGAGAGCTTGCGATAGTGCTTGTTGATAGCCTGAAGTTTCCGACGCGTTTTAATTGGCAAACATGATCAGACAGAAGGGGAGCATGGAACGATGACAGATGTTTACAAAGAATAAATACACATCGGAGTGGGAGCACATGAAAATATGGGATGGACATCGTGTTTGAGCTTATATGACTTTCACATGGCCCGAACGTGAGGGATCCCCCCAAAACATTAAAGAGCTATCAACAATGCTGATGTACGCTTCTCTCCCTCCCTACCTTCACCCTGCGCTTCTCCGTGTTGGTGGCATACATTTTGCTCCAGTAAAGTCTTTGCACTGTTGATGTAAAAATGGTGAGAAAGGAACAAGCAATTTAGGCGACAAAACTGCAGACGAGCGATCGATGCAGCTTTCCAGTCATGCGAGTGGACGCGAAATGCCAACATACTTTCTTCCCATGATGCGACATGCGACATCATATAAAAGTATCGTGCATCTGGAACATGCAAAGCCACAGCGTCCTGCCAGGAGGACGGGCGTGCCGGGGACTGTAAAGTGACTTGAAACAGACGCGAGGTCAATTGTCGTCCCTGATCTCGATGTTGAAAAGCTGGGGTTTAATTTGTGTTGATTGCTCAACTCGTGACAGCGTATCTCACGTGTTTTCATGGGAGCCAATTTTCAATGCGCGTGGTTTATTATTTGATTCGCAGCGTGAAGACCGGGGCCTCACACTCCCCTCTATCACATCCTCTTACCGCCTCCGAAGTTTCTTGCTCCTCCCTCTCCCCGACACCCTCTGCTCAACAAAAGAGCTTTCTTGTGCTTCAACAACTTGTTCACGACCATGACTCACGCGGGCAGTACATTGTCCTGGGAATGCTGTAGGATCATGTATGGCTCATTCTCTGCAAATGGCAAGCGTCAACCTCTCGCCCCCCCCCATCATTACCTTCTGAGCAGATGACCAGGCTAGTTGTCCTCACTTGCTTGTTTCCTCCTTCCTTTCCTCTCTTTTTTTGCAAGACAGCTATCATGGCAAATGATAGAGGAGTTGTCAGCGACGAGATTCGCGCTTTGCTGGAAGATGAGCAGGACGCAGAGTTCGAGGAAGTAAGTGGGTGATAGGGATGGAGCAGAATGGAGAAATGGGTTTGTCAGGGCGACGTGCTCAGACGACAGCTCTCATTGCCTCGTGGCCATGCCTTTCTTACCACTCGATCGTATTGATTCTTTCTCTTGGACCCTGTCTCGCAACTTTTTCCCAGGAAATCGCCCGAAACCCTTTCTCCCTCAAAAGTTGGCTCCGATATCTGAATGCAAAAACTCAAGCCAAGCCGGTGAAGCGCTATCTGATCTATGAGAGAGCTTTAAAGTTCCTTCCAGGCTCTTACAAGCTGTGGTGGGCGTATTTGCAGGTTGGTGTCGTGGGGCAAGGGAGGGAAGAAGAGGAGAAGAAAGTCACTGGAAGGGGAGTGCTGCACTACGGAGACGAGGGGGAGGATAATGTGATCGATGGACAGGGCTTATGCTTGGCGGGAGGAAAATGCGGAGAGGGATGGCGTGCACCGTGGTGCCCTATGGCTCACGACTTCTGGCATTTTCCCCCCCATCCAGGAGCGGAAAGAGCAGGTGGATGGGAGAGTTCCTGTCAGCCATCCTCGCTATCAGATTCTGCTGAATACCTTCGAGCGGTAAGTGGAGACGGAGGAGCAACGCATGGAGGGACAGAGTGGCAAGAGAAATCGATGAAAGGCAACAACCTGCTCTCACCTTCTTCCCCACTCTCTCGGTGCCAGGGCCCTTGTGCATCTCTCGCGCATGCCCCGCGTCTGGCTCGACTATCTGCATACTCTCGTCGACATGAAAAAGGTATGGCTGGGTCTTCCTTTCCCTCTCCTCCACCCGCCTTGCGTCTCACCTACTCCCCCCCCTGACCCCTCTCCCGGCTCCGCAGGCGACCAAGACTCGTCGCGCCTTCGACGCCGCACTTCAGTCCCTTCCCATCACCCAGCACGAGCGAATCTGGTCTCTGTACCTTCCGTGGGCCCAAAATTTAGGCGTTAAGGAGACTGCAATTCGTGTCTTCCGGTGCGTCCCTCCCTGCCTCCCCCCGACTCGACCCCTCCCTCCACCTTCCCCTGCCCTTGAAATCCGTGACAGTCGTCGCTCGAGCCGCTTGGCCTCCATCGAGGGACGGAAGCACAGCTTTCCTCACCCCTTTTCCCTTCCAAACTCTCTCCTTCAGGCGATACTTGAAGTACGACCCTTCTCAGCGCGAGTCCTACGTCGATTTTATGGAGAAATTGGGGGAAATGGAGGAGGCCGCTGTGCATTTGGCCATCTGTGTGAACGACGACGCCTTCTTCTCTCCGAAAGGTCCGTTTGGACGGTTAGCCTGCTGTGCGACGTTTTTGTTGATTTCCGTCTCGAAAGCCCCCACCCTTTTTTGATCCCATTGACGTTTTCCCGGTTCCATGTAGATGGGTCTGTAGGTGTCAAAGTTGAATTGCCCCCCACTTCTGCCATTGAAATGCCTTTTACTCACTCACTGCAGGCTCCTCCAAACACGCCCTCTGGATGCGCCTCTGCGACATGTGTGCGCGCCATCCGACGGCTATCTCGCGTCGTCTCAAGGTGGACGCCATTATCCGAAGCGGCCTCGCGCGCTTCACGGACGAAACCGGGAAGCTGTGGTAGGGTTTGACTCCCTCCTCTCGGGCTCTTCCTTCTTCCCACGTTTCTTAAGCGTCATTTCATTTCTTTTCCCTACGATATTTGACTGATGTCTCAGGTGCAAGCTGGCAGACTACTACATCCGCCAGGGTCAGTTTGAACGGGCCCGTGACGTCTACGAGGAGGCGCTTTCCACGTGAGTGTGCTTGGTATCTCCTCTTACCGCATGGTCCGAGCACCTCGTCGGCTTTCCCCCGACGTCGCAATCACTGCCCTGTCCTACCAGCCGATTCCCCCCCCTAACACCAAAGTATCAATCTGACTTCGATCCCTCCACCTTCATGTGCCCCCTGCTTTCCTCATTCAGCGTCCTGACAGTGCGCGACTTCACGATGGTTTTTGACGCTTACTCCCAGTGCGAGGAGTCTCTGTTGACGGCCCGCGTGGCAATGTTGGCAGAGGAAGAGGTATGGAATTAGAGTGGGCAGGAAGGAAGGAGGGAGGGAGGGCTTGGAGGAAAGAAAGGGTTGAGAGGAAGCGGGTCTGACAGGAGCCTTTCGGTTTGTTTCCCGATGCCTCAGGAACCAGAGGACGAAACGGACGATGACCTGGACGTGGAGGGCGACGACACGGATCTGCGACTGGCCCGGTTGGAGGATTTGATGGAGCGTCGGCCCATTTTGGTAAGGCGCGAGGGGGAGAGAGAGGAGGAGAGGAACGAGGAGACAGGGTTATTTAAAATCATCTGTGGTTTGAAGGTGAACGAGGCAGTGGCTTAGGCGCTGATCGGACCGACAAGGAGAACATGGTGGACATGTGAATGGGGAAGACTGGAAGCATTGGCCGGGCGACGTCCTTCGCGCCCCCCTCATTTCTTACACGTTCTCCCCTCTTCCTCTACCCCTGACCCCAACAGCTGTCCTCCGTCCTCCTGCGTCAGAACCCTCACAACGTCCACGAGTGGCACAAGCGGGCCAAACTTTTCCAAGCCCAGAACGATCCTCACAAGGTACTCCGAGGCCGTGTCGCCCCCGGCCCCGCATCTTTCCGCTCCAGTGTCCTCAGCTTTTTGCCTTCCCCTTTTCGCAGGTCATCGTCTGTTTCACCGAGGCCGTCAAGACCGTCGACCCCAAGAAGGCTTTCGGAAAGCTCTATTCCCTCTGGACCGCTTTCGCCAAGTAAGCTTGTTTCCCTTCTGCTCTCTCCCTCCTGCGTCCTTTTCAAGCTCTGCTTATGTCAATCGTCTTTCCCCCCCGCAGGTACTATGAGGAGCATGACGACATTGACAACGCTCGCGTGGTGCTCAACAAGGCTACTTTGGTCAATTTTAAGGTACTGCCTCACTCCACCCCCCGAATCCCCGATTTCATCCTTCCTTTCTTTCCTTAATCTCGTGTCTTCACCCGTCTCTATCTGCAGGGCGTGGAAGAGCTTGCTGGTGTCTATTGCACCTGGGCAGAGATGGAAATCCGGCACGAGAACTACGAGGAGGCCTTACAGGTATGCCTGCCGCCCCTTCCACTTTTCACCTTTTCACTGCCTCCCTCATTCCATTTCATTTCTCTCTCTTTCTCTTCCATAGGTGATGCAACACGCCGTCACTGAGCCGTCTCAGGCCATCCAACGCCGGCGGCAGACCGAGGCTCAGGGCCGCGCGTTGGGAGGCGGGAAGAAGGGGGGCGAGGAGCGGGCAGAGATGATTGCAAGCATCCCTGTGCAGGTAGAAGACCAGGAACTGCATTCAGGATGGAGGTTGTTTCTGTATATTCACCGGCATTGTCTCTTTCTGACTTTGCCACCCTCAATTTAGGAACGCGTGCACAAATCCACTCGCGTCTGGTCCTTGTTCTTGGACCTAGAAGAATCCCTTGGGACTGTTGCCACCACAAAGGCTGCCTACGAACGGTGTTTGGAGCTCAAGGTATCACCATTTCTTCTTGTCTCATCCATCCATTTGTCGTGTCTTTATTGGGAGATGTGCATTTTTCCCGGCATTTCCGACTCGCTCCCTCTTGATTTTCAAACTGGATGTCATGCGCATCGTAGACGCATATTTCCATGAACCGTCCATTTCTGCGCTCATGCTTTCACCCATCCACTCCCAGGTCGCCACACCCCAAATAATCCTGAACTTTGCCTCTTTCCTGGAAGAAAATGCGTACCACGAGGAGGCTTTCCGCGCCTACGAGAAGGTATGTTTCAGCCCACCTTTCATGTTCTTTTTTGCCACCCGCCTCACTTTACCTCCCTTTTTTCATCCCGTTCCATTTTTAGGGGGTATCTGTCTTCGGTTGGCCTCACGTCAAGCCCCTGTGGTCTCTGTACCTTCAGAAATTCGTCGCCCGGTAAGTTCTATTATTGGACTGGGGTGGGAGCCTTCAAAACGCTCACCGATCAGTCTTTTCGTCCTGCCACCCTTTGTTCCTCATCCATTGCATTACCCATTCTCGGGTTCAGGTATGGTGGGAGCAAGCTGGAGCGGGCCCGCGATTTGTTCGAACAGTGCCTGGAGAAGGTCCCAGCGGATGAGGCTGCCGACTTCTACATCCGGGTAAGCACCGCTACTTCCCCACCACCAGCATTCCCGATTTTCTGTTTTTTTTTTTCCCATCTCCTTACCTAGTGTAGACGATTTTCAGGAGATGACACAAATTCATGCGGTGACCTTTACCGCCCTCTTTTAGTCCTGCATCGCTCACCCCACGCTCTCCTTTCCTTCTGGTCTCAGTACGCAAAGCTGGAGGAAGAACACGGCCTCGCCCGACACGCGATGGCTATATACGATCGGGGGACCCAGGCAGTGCCCGAGGACAAGCGTTACGATTTCTTTCTGCTCTACATCAAGAAGGTAATTGTCGAGAAACCCCCCCTCTCTGAGCTTGGACGCATGCACGCGCAGTACTGGGTACGCAAATGCGTTGGTCACACGTGTATGTCGCTGGCTCATCGACATGCCTCCTTCCTCGCCCTTCTTATGTTGGTGCTGTCCTCCCTTCTTCTCCCCCACTTTCTCTTCTCGTTCAAGGTGGAGGCTCTCTACGGTGTCACCCGCACTCGGGAAGTATACCAGAAAGCCATCGAGGTCTTACCCGACGAGGGGGCTAAAAACATGTGCATCCAGTTTGCCGAATTGGAGCGGAAGCTTGGCGAAGTACGTTATCTCCCTTTTCGGGCACCCAGTTACAAGCAGTTTGTTGCCTCGTCTTCTGTCGTTCGCCCTTCTCTCTTTTTGTGGTGGTCTCATTCCATTTCTTTCTCCCGATTGCAGATCGACCGAGCGCGTGCTGTTTATACACATGGCGCCAACTTTGCGGATCCACGCCGTGATCCTGGTTATTGGAAGAAATGGCAAGATTTTGAGGTGCGTTATTCTCCTGCTTCTACTCCACTTTCCCTCATCTAAATCTAAACGAGTACCCGAGGGCGCGCATCATATGTTGCAATGTAATTGTTTGCTGCTTGTCCACGCACATTCCTCGCTCCTCCTCATCGTCCATATCTCCCCTTTAAATTACTGGCCACTCCCGTTTCAGGTCAATCATGGGAATGAGGAGACATTCCGGGACATGTTGCGCGTAAAGAGGACTGTACAGACCGCCTTTTCACAGGTAGCAGTGCAAGGAGTGGGTGGATGTTGGGGAACTGAAGGAAACTCGACCGGAAGGATCAGAGAGCAAAATACCTTCACTGGCAAGATGATCCCAGTGCTTCTCTTCCCTTGCCCACTATCATTTTGTTCTTCCTATCTTTTTGAATCTTTTGCAGGTTAATTACATGGCAGATGACGCTATGGCCATGGTGCAAGCGAAGGAGGGTGGGGGGGAGGAAAAAGACGAGGCGACCGCTGACGCTGAGACCCTGGCTCGAGAAGCGGCCAAGGCGGAGGAGAAGGCGAAAAGGGCTCAAGCTGCACGGGTCATGGCCGGAGGAGCGGGTGGTGTCAAAAGGAAGGGAGGAAGCGAGGGGGAGGAACTGGAAGCGGTGGAGAGACAGGCCAAGAGGCTTCAGGCAGTGACAGCAGCGGCTGTTGCAGCATTGGAACGGAATGAAGAGGAGATAGACATTGAGGACATGGAGGAGGAGGGGGAGGAGGGAGACAGGATACAGGAGGGAGGGGAGGAAAAGGAGATCCACATTGAGGGGGACACCGAAATACAGGTGAAGGCCAAGCCTGTTCCGGCTGCAGTGTTTGCAAGGGCAGGGCTTGAGGAGGACGCAAAAGATGGAGAGGTAGGGAATGGGGGAAGTATGGGAGCTCTGGAACGCCTGAAGAAAGCCGGAGGCCAAAGATAGCTGCTTAAAACTTGTCTTCTGAGCTCAATTTTAATATCGCGGTTAACAGAAAGGAAACACCTTCCATGTGGAAATAGTTTCAGAAAAGTGAACATTCTTTCGCTGTCTACTTTATTTCCAGCTATGCTTCAGCTTATTAGGAATTCGCATCTGTGACGTTCACATCCTTTTTCTATTCAAACATACATCGTGTGCGCTCCGTGGCACGAGCGCCCTTTTCTTATACTTTCACACTTATTTATTTATGCGCCTTTTTTAAAATTTCCTTATTCAAAGCACGAGCACTTCCTCCACGATTTCCTCACCCAGCCGCTTGAAATCGCTCAAAACCTCTCCCACATTTGGGAGCATGAATGGTACTCCTTCACCGTCGATGTTTTCTCGCTTTTCTTCATCTGGCTTAACTTTGATCGGGATTTTCCCTCTACTCTGCAACACCGAAAAGGACGAGGAAAGGAACAGCCGCGGACGAAATCTTACCGCTAAGCCTTCCCTATGGCCTCCTTCAGCCCCCGCCATAAAAAATAAAGCCAAGCCTCCATACCTCTTCACCAGTTTCTTCTGGTACTCGCTCACTGGATCCATCCCCACCACCCGTTTCTGCGCCTGTGCACCTGCCAGATTTTTGTACAGGTGTCCACAACGCAGAGCCTTGCAGCCTTTTTGGACTTCTTCCCACGCCCTCCATCCCTCACGATAGGGGCCAGAGAAGAGTGGACCTACCCATGCTGGCTTGAAACGGATCAATACGTCGAATTGAGGCGGCTGCAGGAGTGGCGACGAGGCCGCCTGGAAGGGGGAAGAAGGAACCACGGCAGCTCTCCATCCTCCCTCCTTTCCACCTTCCTCCATCCATGTCAACAGTGATTGAAGCGAAATGGCAGCGAGAGCCTTCATTCGGGCTAGGATTACGGGCTCTGGGCAAGAAGAGGATGTCCAGGAAGGTCGCCATCCCCTCTCTTTGTCGTACGGCGCCAGTAGATACATCATAGACCCCCCTCCCTCCCGGACTCCCGCTTTGCCTTGATGTTTTTCAAAGGCTTTCTCTGCAGCCTCGTGGTCGGAAGGAAGAAGGGTGTGGTGCGGGTCAACAAGCAAGGGAGTGGAGTGCCAATTATGCGTGGAAAGGAGGGACAGGAAAGCGAGGAGGCCAGCGAGGAGGGACCCTGGGGGTCGGCCGGGCGGGGAGAAGAGCGCGGCAACGAGTAGTTCGAGGGCTTCCAGGGGGAGACACGGCGAGCTGGAAGCGGTTCCGGATGAGAGAAGGGCGGAGTCGGAGGGTATAGGTGGGAGGAGATGATTGGAAAGCCATATGGAGCATAAGCGAACAACGCGGCCGTACAGAGGATTGGCTGCGTGACAAGCTTGGATGAGTCGATGGTGGGTGGGAGCGCGTTCTGTCCAGCGCCCCACCTCCTCCTTCTCCACTCGCTCTCCCTCCAGACCAAGGAGGGAGCTTTCTTGAAAAACGGAGAGAGAAGCCCGGAACACATAGCCGTCTAGCATCATATCCAGTGCGTTGGGGCCAGCCAGGGAGGCTTTCACCTCAGGGTCGCGCTCGAGGCTGAGATAGACAGGGAGGGAGGGAAAAAGAGAGAAAAATAAATTGAATTGTACGACACAATTCCATCGAGAGTTTATCGTCAGGGGGGAATAGGCGAGAGATAAATCAATAGACATCGCGACAACACAGTGTCACATGCGTTTCGACCTCTCACCTCCGAGCAATCTGCAGCAAGAAAGCTGTCTGGGCCCGTCGAAGGGCTTCTAAGTCGTCGGGCCATTTGTTCGACTTCTGAAGTTGCACCTGGATCGGAAGAGGGGCTGCGGGAAGTAGAGTGACGGGAAAGGATATCAGAAGAAAAGGAAAGCGATCCCAGAATCAATGTAACCTCACTCGATCTGTTTGTTGCCCCCTCCCCGCAAGATCTCCGCCTTTCTCTTCCCCGTACCGACTGTACGAGACACCTGCTGCCCCTCTAGACGCTTCAAGAGTCGACTGGCTCCATGGACGAGGGGATGGGGAAAAGGGGGGAAGAGGGAGGTGTGCCGGAGGGCGGGAGAGAGGGGGGCGACCGCCTCGATGGCAAGAGGAAGGCAGGACGATACGCCTTCTTTGAGCTGGGAGTAGGTGGAAGGGGGGGTTTGAGGGAGCAAATAATGATAGAAATAACGAAATATGATATCTCAGCTAACAAGCAGCCAGCCTCACCCTTCTCATTCCCCCTTCTGTTTCCGCTTCTTACCTTCGTCGTCAGGGAATCCAATGCCGTCAAAGCCGCCTTTGTCATTGCCTCAGGCGTCAAGGAGGGCGAGGGCAAGGACGAAGATGCGGACGCTCCATTTGCCGATCGCTCCTTGGAAAGCTCCAGCAACATAACCAATTCATTTCCCAAGATTCTCAGCGAGGTGGCAACAGAGGGAGGAAACCTATCGCCCATAAAAGTGCAGAGATCGATCAGCCTGTACCTCTCCCCCGCTATCTTCGGTACCATTCACAAAGCCCTTAACGTCACACATCTCCCTGACTTCTTCCTCCCCCACCCTCCCCCACCGCCTTCCCTCCTATCTCACCGATGCCGCAGGTGGTACCCCAAGGTATACCGCATAATCTCTTCCACTATCTTGTGCCTGTCTCCACCTGTGTAAGCAGTGACAGCGCCCTCTGTGAGCAGAAGAATCATCCAAGACCTCTAGATGCCTCCTTTTCCTCTGAATTGAATCACTTCTATAGCTTCCTGGTCCCTGTCCATCCAGCTTACCTCCTCCCCACACTACGGCCTCTACAATGGCCCCGTCTTTGAAGCGTCGAAGCTCTGCTTTTTGGCCCCAGAATGCGCGAAACTGATCGGACAAAGAAGAGAAAGCAAGGGTTGGGTGAGCAAACAAGAGGAAGATCGAAGGGGGGGATCGACGAAAAGAAACGACGAGGAGGAAAAAAGCGCGGCTGACCTAAGGACAAGCAATACAAGCCTCAACCATTCGCTCTTCCACCACGTCCCTCCCGTCTTCATTCTTCCAATATATTCGAAGCCACACTCACCTCTCTCGCCTTTGTCTCCTCCTCAGCTGGTGGTCCCCGATCCACAAGTCGCAACGCCTGCATAGGGTCGATCGAGATGCCCACCCATACCCATCCCCGCTCCCCCTTTCTTCCCAAGTTCTGCTCAACACAGCAAGCAGCGGGCAAAGCACGCACGCGGCGCGCACGGTTCCCCAGGGCGAGGCTGAGGATCTGCGCGGCCTTTCGGGACAAGTAGGAGGCGACGGGAAGATCGCAGCAGACGCGTTCTTCCTCCTGAAAAGTAGAGAAGGAGTTGAAAAGAAAGGAAACCAGGAATTGAGATACAATTAATCAACAAGGAACACGAGAGAGGGCAAGAAAAGACAGAGGAGGAGAACAGACCCCGATTGTCCGTGGATTCGTTTTTTGAACGAATGCCTCTTCGGAGATCAGCCCGTCCGACTCGAGAAGAATGCATACCTGTGCTGTCGCTACGCTGACCGCGTCGGTGGCCTGCTCGCTTTTCGAACGGAGGGGAAGGCGCAGATAGTAGTCAAAGGTGCGCAAAAAGGGGAAGGGCGTGAGGAACAGGACGGTGGAGGCAGAGCGGACCTGCGCGAAGCAAAGGAGAAGGAAGAGCCAAGAAGAAAGGTCAAGGTGAGCGGGGGAGAGAGGGTGAAATGGTGAGAAGAAAGGAAGATGCGACCATGCTACATGGCGCGCCAGACAGGGACTGGTCTTAAGCCGTCCTCCTCGCAGCTCTATTTCTTCTCTTTGCATCTGACCACTTACATCGGTCCGCAATAACTTGAGAGCCCGATTCGCCTCCTCCTGAAGCTCAGCACAGGCGGAGCGGGAGAGGTATGTAAAGGCATTCCCTCCCGTTTCTTCGATCAGCAGACACGCCACAAAAGCACCCACGAAAAGTGAGGGGTCTAGAGGAGAAGAGGCTGTGTCCGCACAGGGAGAGAAAAAGAGACCAAGGGCAAAGGTTGTGAAAAACTGCCCTTGTACAAAAGACCTCTCGAGGTGTCACGTCTGACTATGATTTCTGATTGTCCACCCTTGCAGTTTCCCTATCTTCTCTTCTCCGGGGCCGCAATTTCCGGTTCGAGTCCGAGATACCAAAGCGTTCTGATGTGCCTAATCTTGTTCAATTTCACATCCAGCCTCAACTCTTGAGATATGAATAATCCAGCCTCCCTCCTCCTTACCTCCCTTCAGCAGTAAAGGTTTTGTCCCCGTTTCGGTCAAGTCGGTTTCGGCAAGAAACTGGAGCATCACCATCAGGGCGGGAAGAACTTCCATCCTGTGGAAGGAGGGCCGGTGACGCGGAGAAAGGTGGGCGGAATAGGGACAGAAAGGACGCGAAAATGGAATACGTTGAAGAGCAGAGGCATAAATTCCACAAACGTACCTGGGATTGAGCCGCCTCTCTTGAAGAAGGAAAGCAGCCAGACAGAGGAGGGAGAAGCCGTCGAAGGAGTCGAGCGCAGAGAGCGAGCCCCGCTGAGCGAGCCAGACCTGACGGGAATATCGAGGAAAAAGAGGGAGAGGACAAATTAAGGCCCTGTGTAAGTATGGTATGTCATGAAAGCACACGCATTCGTCCTGGAAGGGATTACGAGGCTTTTTCCCTGCAACCTTCCTTTTTGTCTTTCCCCTACAGCCCATTTTCCTACATAGTTCTCACCTTCAAGAGGACAACTGCCTGTTTAACTCCTGTACATTCCCGCCCTAGCCACGAATGCAACACGGCCAAATGCTGTTTGAACGAGCCCTCCTGGAGGATGCCTTGGGAATAGTGTGGAGTCGAGGGCTCGGGACCGTCCTTCCAGGACTGATAGGGAGGAGGAAAGACGCCATATGAGGGGAAAAGGGGGACGACAGAGATTGGTCTAGGGCTGAATGCCGAGGATACGTGACGGTAGATGCAAGCGCTTTCCACCATCCCCGGGCACTTGCTCCCTTTCATCACCCACACGTGTCCTTCCTCTCGCCATCACTTTCTGATTCCCTTTACCTGTCGTCGAACATTGCATCGGTGCGGGTTTAGCTTTGGTCGCTCCATGATGCCCCCTCCTTTCGTTGCGTCCTCAGACTCTCCTTTCTTTCCTGCCCCCTTCTTCTTGCTGTTGACCCCACCCTTCACATCGTCGACGAGGGCAATCGAAGGCCAAAGTCGCACCCTGTTGGAAATACCAAGACGATAAGCCTGATTGCTACCTATCTTCCATCCTCCCTGCCCTCCTTCCCCTTCCCCTCCTCCCTCCATCCTCACTTGACTCCTCCAGTATGGGCTGTCGGCGTGAGGACAAGGAGAGGCCGGCGATGGTCCCCCTTGAAGGCCTCCACCTCTATCGATCTGCAACACGCATAAGGAGGCAGGGAGGAAGAGAGGCGAAGAAGTGGAGCAACTCAAAGGTAGCACAAGGGAAGGCATGGTGAAAAGAACCAGCTTTCGGTCCACAAAAACGTGCAGGAGGTCCGGGGCGAGAGGTCGGCGCCAACCCTCATCCCTCTCTACCCACCTGATGGCCTCAACTCCCTCCAACTCCTGCTTGATATGGGCCAAGTAGGCGTTCCGTCTGTTGTGATACCGGTAATTCAACCACGGCCAGCGAGGACCGAAGGTGGGGGCTGGAACCTCCACAGCCACGTCCACGGAGGGCGCCTGGAGGGAAGGAAAGCGGAGCCGCGAGAGTGGAAGAGGAGTCAAAGGAAGCAAGCTTAAGGGGCCACGTCGACGGCTTTCCCCCCCACTCCCTCCCCCCACCCTCCTTTCCATCCATTCCTCCCCGCCGGACTCCTCACGTACCGGTTTGCTCAAAGCGCCCAGCATGAAGGAACCTACCACCTCCACTTGACGGGGGGGGAGGAAGGGAAGGGGGGCCGACGAGGCCTCGGGCCATTGCACGTGTGGGGTGAAAGGGAAAGCGGGGTCGGAGGCCTCCGCAGGCATGGTCTAGGCCAAGGGCGGTGGAGACCAGGTAGGGGAAGAAGAGAGAGGTTGGCAGGTAAGGAAAGGGGAGAGGAGGGCATGTCGACCAGAACCGCACTTTGCACTGCACTCTACTTTGTGTCCATTGCCCTCTCTGACTTACCCCACTTTTCATCCCCAACAGTGTCTCTCGCAACGTGAATAAAAATTTCGTTAAGGCCTTCCTGACTGCGGTAGGGCTCCCTCTTTGCTCGCTCCATCCCGATAGGTGCACGTCTGCCAAAACTTCTTGTACTTGAAGGCGTAGGAGATTTCGACAGAAAAAAGCTTCGGGCTGACGAAGGTACCTCTCTTCCTCTTCGGTGGGAGGGGCATACCTATTGTCGCCAAGAAAGGCCACATAAAGGAAAATTTCGTTGGTGTGAGGTACAGGACACAGAGGGAGCTTATAATGTGATCCATCGCGCACCTCCACGGGATACAAGCGGCACATAGAGCCACATTGCATCCATATTCAAATTTATATGGAACCACTCACCGCCCTCGTTTGGTAGGTCGACTGTTTCCCCCTTTAGTCTCTAAGTGTTCCGTTTCGTCCTCTTCTTCGTCTTCTTCATCTTCAACCTCTTCCTCTTCCTCCTCCTCCTTCTCCTCCTCTTCCCCCTCTTCCTCCTCCTCCTCTGCTTCCTCCTCTGCTTCCTCCTCCTCCACCTCTTCGTCCTCTTCTAAATTTTGTACCTCCTCCTCCTCTTCCTCCTCCTCTTCTTCCTCCTCCTCCTCCTCGTCTACCTCCTCCTCCTCCTCTTCTCCTTCCACCGTGTCCTCCTCGTGGTCGTCGCTCTCTGACATATTTTCACTGCTATTCTCGTTTTCAAAGTCCTCCTCTTCCCCTAATTTTAAGGTTCCTGCATCCTTTGACTCCTCGAGCTCTCGCAGGGCGGCTCCTACATGATTTTTTTTTTTGCCCATACTTGACAAGCCTCAGCCCTGCGAGCTGATGCCCTGTTGACACATGACGTAAAAAAAGAAAAATAAACGCAATTTACAAACAGTAGTTTCAAAATGCAGATTACACCTTGTAGCCTCCTCACAAGCAGGGCTGCGTTTAAGGCAACTCAAGACGGAACGTGCGTTGTGAAGTATCTTTGGGTGGCTGGCGCCCTCGCCTTTCCTACCGACGGCCCAAGCGCTTATCCAGCGAGTATGGAGGTCGAACAAAATAATCAATACGGAGGCTGGCGTAAAAAAACCTTTTGCGTAATCTACATCTTTATATCAACGTGAAATACAAAGCGAAAAGGTGTGCAATTATGTATGAGATAAGTGGAGCACAAGTCAAAAAGGGGACAATTTTTGATCTGTACTCTTGCCTGCAGGCCACAAGATAAGTACAAAAAGTAAAAACACACTTTTCTCGGCATCTGAAATTTTTGGCATGTGAGACTCTACCGTAATAAATAATCGAAAAAATACTACCCGATAGGGGGAGAAATCCTATTTCGGCAGATTTTGTTTCTCATTTACTTGCATCGTCCAAGACGCAACATTTTTGCTTTCCGGGAGGTTATTAGGTCACCCAGTATACACCTTTTTCTCAATTTCTGACGATTTTATCACGAAATTTGCCATGTTTTGAGTAAATATATGATTTCTTTCCAACTCGTTGCGGCCAAGAGGAGACCATAAAAGCTATCTTGTGGGTGGTTACGATGGTAGTCAATGCTCGAGAGACATGATTAGTTCTCTGCCAAAAGTGAGAGCAATGTACGCCTCGCGATCGTCTACTTGACACCATAAAATAAATGTAATGTTTCGGTGTTCTCATACGTGGGACCCATGATGAAATATAGAATATAAATATGATAGTTGCCGGTTAGGAGAAAATTTCAAAGTTGGACGTATGAAAAATCGGAAAAAATCCTGCCACGCGTCATCCGTGACCCACGTCTCGCCCCTCCCCCACAGTACGTTGAGGGCGAAATACTCTTATATCTGAATGTCGGGGTGTTCAACGAGTTGTAATAATTTTTTTAAAATATACATGTACATTCCAACAGCCCCAAATTTAGCGAGGCGAAGCACTTCGAACGATTAAAAGCAACAAGAGCATGCACGTGGCATGTCAAGATCGTCCACAGCAATTGAAAGCATGTACTGTACGCCGACAAGTTTAATTTTACCGACATACAGCAAAGCTGGACAATAGCCATCGTGCAGCCATACTCCCTCAAGCCCATGCTTCTCGCAGAGCTTTCGCCTGGGCCGCTTTCCCCAAAAATCCGACCCCTACCACGGAAATAAGCAAAACCAAGGAAACCAATACGTGGTTGAAGGTGTCCGGCAATAAGTCAAAGGGCTTGTGACTGGGATAGAGACGCGTGAAGTACAAATCCAGGTCCCCCACGCCGAGAAGAAGCGTGGTGGATTCTAAGGAGGAAGGGGCGGTGTATAGGGAATGTAGGCCGTGGAGTGTATGGTTGTACGTCACGACATGAGGAGGGAGGACAGGGAGATGCGGGGCGTAGGGTAAGAGACCCTCCGCCTTCTCTGTTTTGGAAAGCGGAAGGGCAGTGGGACGACGAGGGTCCAGGAGGCGACGGTCAAGAAGGAGAATCTGTCCAGGTTCGAAACCGACCAGCAATGCTTTGGTGGTGATCCCGCGGGCCGTTAGGGTGCTGCCCAGCGTCAGGATGGGATGAGGGAAGAGGAAGGTCTGTTGGAGGGCGACTGGAGAAGCGTCGCCGTCGAAAGAAGAGGTTCTGCGGCCCGGGAAGGAAGTGAGAACGGAGGGGAAAGGCGACGTGAGCAGGATATTACCCGGCATACGAAATTCTCATCTCTTGACGCCCTTCCTCTCACCGTTCTTTGAACTCGGGAGAGGTGAACAGTCCGAGGCCTTTCCTGTCAATGAAGCCGTCATACAGGGTGATCGAGCCGATTTCAGTACGCTGCGCCTGCATGAGGGACAGAGAAAGAAAGAGGGGAAGATATGAGTCATGAAGGCAAGAAGGCAACTCTGAGACGTACTCTGGCACACGTTGGGGGTCAAACTAGCAGCAACATGACGGGGAGAAATGGAAACACCACTTGCTCTCTTCCTGCCTCCCGCCCACTCTTCCTCCAACCCCTCCCTCCCTCCCAACCTTGCAATTCCAATAGGAGTAGATTAGCCAATTTTCCACCAGCCGCATCCGCACCGGCCCTTGGACGTGAAAATGTGACACACGATAGAGCACCCTCCCCGACACAGTGTCCATCAAGGTAACATAGAGGGTCGAGACTTCCTTCCCGCCCTCGTCCCCTCCCTGCCTCCTTCCCTCTTGGCTGCCCTCGTCTCTGGTCACATTGAGGGAGGCAGGAGGAGGGGATGGAGGGAGAGAGGCGGTGCTGGCGAGGGCCACCAGGTAAGGATTCAAATACTTGAGCAGGAGCGCACCGTCCCCCAATGGGTGAGAGGAGGGAGCCGTCATGGTCTCACGAACATCCGGGTAGGCAGTGCTGACCACGAGCTCGCTCGGACTGGGGAGGGAGGAAGCGCCGACAACAGCAGACTGAAAGGGCCAGTTAGGGGAAGAAGGCGCAGAAGAGGGCTTGAAAAGGCGGTAGGTCTGGAGGGAGGCGCCACCCGAGGAAGGGGTTGAGAGGGTGTGATAGAAGATAGGGCGATCCCCAAGACTCTCTTCGGTCCCAGCCTCCCTCCCGCCCAAGGCGCCTTGGGCACAGGAAGACCCGTCGAGGAATCGAGCCCGATGACCGGTGGCGTTGCGGGTGTCCACGAGAAGCAGACGAGGAGGAGAGGAGGAGGAGGAGGAGGAGCTCGCGATGGGGAAGAGGAGGAGGGAGGAGGAGGGGGCTGGGGGGGTCAGTCCCAAGGTGGGAAGTGAGGCTATCTCATGACCTGGGAGCGGAGAGCATGTCGCAGAAATTTAAGGAGGGAGCGTCAGAATGCACCTTCCATCTTCCCCCCCATGTCTCTACTCCTACCCTTCCTCCCTCCCTCCACTTCCCGATTCCTACCGGTGGCAATGTCCAACCAAATCGCCAGCCCTTCTCCTCCTTCGCCCACCAGAAGCACCTCGTCTCCTTGCTGCACCATCCTCCACCGCGCTCCTTCCCTTCCTTCGACCGAGGAGAGGTCGCGCGTCCAGAGGATGGTGCCGCCGTGGGAGGAAAGGAGGGCGATGAGCCGGGAGGAAGGTGCGCAGAGGAAGAGGAGGATCTTGGTCAGCCCAAAGTGCGGGTCTCGGACAGAGGAAGACGAAGGGGAGGGCGGGAGCACGACGCTCTGGGAAGATGGGGAAGATAGAGGGGAATGAAAGGTAAGGACCAAACTTTGAACATCGCAGGCGCTCTGCGGGTCAGAACCTTACCAGCAGTTTTTCGAATAGGGGCGAGGTTGCCAGTGCCTCGGTGACGTCCTCTGTCCCGCTCCTTTTCTCTCCCTCCGCCGGGGGTCGATGGTCGACGATCAAGACCTGTGCGACGTCTGCAAGACACTCTTCCCGGAGCCAGACTGGACGAGGAGGAAGGGAGGATGGAGGGGGAGGTAAGGAGGGAAAAGGTTTGACTTTGAGAAACTAAGGAGAGACTCGGGGGCCAAGAAAAGAAGAGCCCATGCCTATCTCCTTCACGAGTTCCCTCTCCTCCTTTCTCTCTTGCCCCCTCCTGCCTCCTCCCTTGCCCCCGCGCTCATCCCACGCACCTAAACGGTCATCCATGGTCTGGAGCACCAAGGTCTCTGCCTTGTCGACCGTCAACACCAGCAGATCGCTCTCCCTCCCCTCCTTCTCTTCCTCCCTCCAGCCGCCTCTTATACCGGCCCAGAGGCCCCGTAAGGACCGTCTGCCCCGCACCCTCCCCACTGACTGCCCGTCCACGACCCGAAATACTTCCACTCCTGGTCCCTGATTCTCTTCCCCCCGCAGGACGTACGGGCCCGCGCGGAAAGCGAGGGGGAGAGAGGGGGAGGACGGGGGGGCGACCAGGCGCTGCATAAACTTCCCCTGCGTGAGGGTGATCTCAACGACAGCTCCGGAGTCCGAGAGGACAAGGCAGGAGGCGCTGAGGGATGAGGGGTGGGAGGAGGGAATGGGGGAGGAGAGGACGCCGTGCGGGGTCGCTTTGGCGCCGGAGGGATTGACGAGCTGCATGTCAGCAGCGGAGAGGGAGGAGGAGGAAGATGGGGAAAGGAGGAGGAGCGCGAGGCTCCGTGCGGGTGCAGGGCGAGCAAAAGCATGAAGCGAGGGAGTACTGTTAAGGGATGAAGAGAGGGAAGGAGACATAGAGTGAGACGTATGACGACGGTAAAATGCAGAGCCTGCTACGCTCATGTCAGACGGTATGGTCCGCAGCACGACGCCTGGGTTCTCAACGCTGCCTCCCCTTTCTTTCTCAGAAGGAGTCTCTTGTTCTCGTTTCAAAACCACTCACCCATGCGATATCAAGCCACCATCCGAGAAGCTCACACTTTTTATCTTCTCTGCCTTCTCCCCCCCGAGGCGGACCAAGAACGCCTGGGCTTTCCCATCGCTACCCTCGCCCACCACCACAACGCCTTTCTCGGTGCCCCCGTCCACCGGTACAACCCCGGTAACAGCCATAAGCTCGATGGCAGGAGCCTTCCAAATGCGCGTCCCATCAACAGCTGACAGGAAGTAAATCTCGCCGGTCTCTCCATCGACCGCGCCAACCGTATCAGGGAAGAGGGCGAGAAAGCCACCCTCCTTCGCTTTAACCCTTTTCCCGAGCGGTACACCGGAAGCGGGGACGGTGACATGCCACATTAGGTTTCCATCAAACAGGCGCCACGCCCACACGCCTAGGGCAGCGGTACTCGGGTCGCTGAGGGAGGAGGTTAGGAGACGGGTCAAAGAGTGAGGGGGGTGAATCCCACCTGATTAAAAATAAACAAAGACCAACCGACAAAAACATGAATTCAGTTTCATAAAGGCAACCACCCCCCATCCCTGCCATTCACGAATTTACCCCTCCTATAAAAAGACAAGTAGCATTTTGCTTCGCCGGAACTAACCGAGTCAAGGCCATGACCAAGCGCTTCTGCGGATGCAGGACAAGTTCAAGGACCTTCACTGCTGGCTTTTCGTCTTTGTCCATTGTTCCTCCGTCTCGCACAGGAAGAGCGACTGGGGCGGCGAGCGGGATGACTTGTCGCCAGAGCAAAGAGCCGTCCGAATTGCTAGCGGAGGCCACAGCCACTGCTCCGTAGGATGAGGCGAGTAGGAGAAAATTGCCCTGTAAAAGATAGCAAGGTTCGATGAAGAAACGAAGAGATCCGATGGTTTAAGTTGAACCATCGGTGAAACGTTGCTGATTTCCTCCTTGCTCCAACTCCATTCGCATTTTTCATACCTCGAACCGTGCGTGGCACACGGGGCCCAATAATGACTTATGCCAGTCAAACTTTCCAGCATCCTCTTCATAGAGAGCATAGACCGATGGAATCAAGAACAAGAAAGACAAATACATGAAGGAGACAAAGATAGAGATCCGTCTGAAGCAAGGGTAAGGCATACTGCTTTGACTCCTGATGCTGATCTGATGTGTCCGCCTTTTCCCTTTCTTGCGCCGCTTCCTCTTCCTTCTGAGTATCCTTCATTAAAATTTGCGTAGAAGATAGATAGAGGTTGAGCGTGAGAGCCCATCCATGGTCCCCAAGGACCCGCTGCATGTATTGGGCCTACTGCCCTATGTTCGCCGAGCGAGTCTCCCGTTGCTCTTGGCTTATTCATTCCATCGCTTTGATACCTTTCAGGAAATAGATGATAACACCATCCCTTGCTAGAGCAATGAAAAGAATTCTGTGACCTTGACTTACGGCTATGGACACCATTCATGTTCTAAATCGACACAAAGAAGCCATAAAGACCGCAAGACTCGAACTGGCTGGTTTCAAAAACCTCCCCTCTCCAATTTCTGCAAGCCTACTTAATACTGGGTGCGTTTTCGAAAATCTATTCGCTATCGAAAGCTATTTGACATCGTCAAATTTGATTCTAAGGTCGTCCTAAATTTTCATCTCCGAAAGCGCAAAGTAACGGCGTAGAAAGCATTGCCATTTAAAAAAATTAATGATTTTCTGGAAATATGCTATGACTTCAGGTAGGTTACATCTGCGCTGATTCGCGAATTCACCGACATTGACGATGAAAGAGGGCTATCATGAAGGAAGCTACCTGTGCACAAACCATTCGTGATGCCAGCGATGAGAATGAGAAAGCAGGGTTGTTTATACGGACGTGGATGCATCTGTACAGTTCTTGCACGGGACACTGAGGCCAAAGGAGGGTAGAGTGAAGCACAATAGCTCGCATTCTGGCACCTAAACTAACCTCACCCGGGGGGAAAAAGTTATCGTATTCTGTTTAAACAGATACGGCACGAAGCAACTACAAGATCATTTCAATGGAGCCATTGCTTGCGATGACCAAGCTCAACGAATGAAGCACCATACAAGCGTGAGATTTCGAAAGAATAAATTTAATCCGGAACTAAGCACTGTCTACCAAATGACAAACACAGCATAGTACCATGGTATACGAAAATTAATTTTGTATACATCTACTACTACAAAGGCGGTCCACGGTTTTCTTTTCCTGCAACGATCCGTGTCTTTGTAGAAAGTAAAAACGTTGGGCATTTTTTTGATGCTAGACATGGTCCCCGGTTAGTTTTGTGAAGCTGTGTAACGATTTGTTACCAGAAACCTCTTGTTACCAGGAAACCTCTTACGGATGCCAATTTTGGGAGAAATACTTTGAAATTTAATAGCATGAATTCAATAGTACAGGCTATAATTTACACCGTGTAAAGTAGGCCTCGTCACGGTGCGCACCCGTTTAGCTGGTTGTCCATCACAACGCCAGCTGCTCCCCTATTTGTCGCAAGCGTTATCGAAGTTTCACGTTCGAATTTCCTTGTCTAGTAGAGAAACTCAATGTCAGATGTCGGTGAGGTATCGCATTTGTCTCAAGCAGGAGGAGCAATCAACGCAGATTTAGCGCTCTAGAAAGATATCAAAGATGTTGCGCTGCAAACAATGTGATGATTCAGTTCAGCACGTGTAGAGTGTCGCGGTGTGAATGAGTTCAAAAGGTTGCGCATAAGGGCCCAATGGACGTGGAACACCGGCATTGAAGATCGCTGAAAATGACGTCATCTCCTCGGCCACGCAAGCATTACTTATCTTGCATGTCCGTGATGAGACTCATGTCTGTACTCAGGCATGTGTTTCATCATCTATCGTTTTTGACCATATAGCAGACTACTTTCGGAGACGAGGCTGTGAGATTTACTCTGACGGACAGACCCCTGCCATTTCAGTACTGATTTTTTTTCGTCCAGGTGATAACATCACTCCTTCAGCATGCGCCATGCTTGGTATCAGCAATTGAGCGGCTTAGCACTTGAGGCTAGCAAGGCTGCTCTGGCTGATTCCGTCCCTGCACTCTCTGTGGACGGTCACTCTATTGCGACTTTCGCTGGAGGCTGCTTCTGGGGCATCGAGCTTGCATTTCAGCGTGTTCCAGGTGTTGTCGCGACTGGAACGGGATACACGCAGGGTCACGTGGCAGAGCCCTCGTATCAGGAAGTATGCAGCGGGACAACGGGTCACACAGAGGCCATTCAAGTGCACTTCAAACCAAACGAAGTCTCGTACGAGGACTTGCTGAAGGTATTCTGGGAACGCATAGACCCACTGATGGAAAATGGCCAAGGGGGTGACAGAGGTAAGAGAGGTCACGACTTCTGCCTGACACAGGAGCGCTTGGTGGCAGACCATAGAAAAATATCTGGATTTTCCCCGGTGTTGGGAAGCTTGCTCTTCGAAATTTTCTGCCACCGTATTTGAGTAGATGAGCGGGATCAGTAGCTAAACCTTTACAACAAGGTATAGAAATCGCTAGTCACCGTTTAAACCCTCTTTCATCCTCTTCCTCTCCTCCTCTTCGAAGGCACGCAATATCGGACGGGCATCTACACCCACACAGACGCGCAACACCGAGCTGCCCTACAGAGCCGCGAGATTGAACAAAAGAAGTATTCACGGCCCATCATGACGGAAATTAAACCGGCAAAAGTGTTCTGGCCCGCGGAGGTCAGCCACCAGGGCTACCTGTGGAAAGGAGGGAGGTTTGGCTCGGCGCAAAGTGCCGCAAAGGGATGCACGGACCCCATCCGTTGTTATGGCTGAAGAGTGATGTGCGTGACGTGGGAAAAACGAACCGGGCGACGAGGATGAGAGAAAAGAAAAGTGAGCCTCAGGACGCCATTACTCAGAATTGCGAGGGTACAAGAGACACAAATCTCCTTGCTTCTTGTTTTTGTTGGATTGGCCCACTAAGTGTCTGCGTTTTTTTCGCGCAATAACAGCTCAGTCCCGGGCTTTGATTTCGAATGCATTGTTGTCATCACACATCCACATGCCAGGCGTCTCTACTCCATACTTTTTGGGGTACATTTTGAACCTAATCTTATTTTGTTCCTCTTCATGACAAGAGCAGCTACTATTTCTCTTCCTTTCCAATCTCATTCCTCCGACTTTCCTCCACCGCACTACTAGACGCGCATCTGTCACCACCACCCCCACCTGTGGCTTGCAATGATGAGCTGGGCAATGGCCTGTCGGGTGTACACATGCAATCGAGCATAATTAAACAAAACAATTTGACGACTTGGGAGCGCGTAGTAGGGCAAAAGAATGAATCCAATACTTCCCCTTCGCCTTCTCCTTCAATTCTTTCCCCCTGCATCGTCACCTGTGTCGTAATGAAAGTGGCGAGGGCATACTTCCAAGCATGCTGCGTAGGCAGTTTGTGTAGCTCGAGCGCAAAAGTAGAATATGTGCTCAAGCATCCATCGAAGCCAACACTAGATGGTAAAGTGGGGAAGGGATGGAGAGTAGAAGGCCGTTAAACATCGCTCACATTCGCCAGCTGGTTCCCCTCCTCATGATTGAGCCTCTTCAAATAAAGCACAGTGGCATGTAAGCTCAGACTCAAGCCCCGCTGGTCCTCCTTCCCTGTCTTTCCCCTGGCTCCCTCCAACCCGTTCTCTTCCCCCCTTACAGGAGCGCCTTCATTATATGCGCAGTCCTCCCATCTCCTCTGTCCTTGAGGACAGGAATGATAGTATCAAAAAAGGCCGAAAGAGTCGCCCCCAACACATTCGCGGTAAATGTTTGAAGGGGGAAGTGAGGGAGGATAAGGTGAATGGTCTGCACCGAAAGGGAGGGAGAAGAAAAGTGGCGGGGGGGGAAGTGTCAGCAGCGAATTTGGTGTCGAGTACTTGCTTCCCACGTCCGTCACCTCTGTCAATTTACCTCTCCCTGCTCTTCCCCTATCTATCTATCTTACCGGATGCTGCGCCATGGCTAAAGCGAGCACGTAACGCAACGCTGCGCCTAGAGGGGCGAAGAGACAAGACAGCCACCGCGGTTCCATCTCTGAGGACTCCACGCTAGAGTAAGCGAGAAAACAAGGCAGGAGAAAGGGTTGCAAATCGAGGCGCAACGCGCAGGAATTTGAGTTGCTGAGTGTTTCAAGTCCATTGACAGGTTTACAGTCCTCTTTTTTTCCTTTCCCTCTGCCTACCCTTTCCTCCCCTCCTTACGTCTTGATTTTGATGGCTGCCAGAGCTAACAATCCGGCGGCCCCAGCTGTGTAAAATGACACCTCACCCAGAATAAACGCATCACGTTGGTTCGGTTTCCGGAAACTATAGATTGAGTACTCAACGTCGTCATCTGCATGATGGAGAAAGGGGGGAAAAGGGAGGGGACGAAATACATGAGAAGGCGTGCCCGGGAGTGTCTCGTTGAGTGCAGCCGGACGGCAGGTAGGCAGAGGAATCGCATAAATCATATCATAACCCTTGTGTGACTCCTCCCCCGACTGAATTTCCCGGGCCCCTCCTACCGTCCTCAGTGGGATTGAACCCTGGAGGCTGGGCCTGCATTTGGATGCCTCCTCCCTCTCTCCCTGCCTCGCTCCCTCCCTCCCTCCCTCCCCCCTGTTGCCCCAGCGGTCGGGAGTAGCTAGACGCCGAAGAGGCAGAGTTGGTAGGCCGTGACACCGGCTTTCGCTCCGGTGATATATACCTGTGCGGTTCCATCAAAGCCGCGCCAGAGGCAGCCTACCACGGAGTCGAGGCGTGAGGAAGTATAGACGGAAAGAAGAGGAAGTGAGAAGCGGATGACAGG